GCGAGGGCCTTGAGGCGGCAGGACGGTGAAGGGGCGCAGTCGGCGGAAGACACGTCTCCCTCTTCCGCGATAAGCACGTCCTTTTCTTTGGAGAGTTGTTTGCCCGGCGCGAAGGTCCCGCTCACCGCAAACAAGCTACGCCGTTAACCGGCTCCAAAGCCTACTCGCCCGTCCCGTGGCCACGAACTTGCCGGTCTCCAGCACTCACCGAGGACAGACCGACCGACCAGGACAGAATCCCCGCGGTGACCCCGCCACGCCCGGACCGTGCCTCGGGCCACCTGGCACAGACTCGCTCCCTCGACTGTAGCTCTATTTACTCCTCGTAATAGTGAGTTCCCTTCAGGGTAGTCTGGCAACTGCTTTACAGCTGAGACGTCAGCAGCCATAGTCACTAGTTTCTGGGACTCCCTCATTCTGAAAAACCTGAGAGCCTTTTAGAAGTTGCCATAGTGTGAAATCAGGAAAGGGAACCCTCCCTCGAATAGAAGAGGGAAGAAAGGGAATTTTAGGTTGAGAAAAACAGATGACTGGAACATTCCGGGTCAGACCTAACAAGGAGGGGAAGCAACGCCAGAGAGGAGAGGTGGGGCAGGAGTCCTTCCAGTGGCCCAAGGGCTGTTTCCTATAGAGAGGAGAACGGACTTTTTTTTGCATTTTTCTTTTTCTCATATCCCTAAACCCTCAGTTTCACCTGCAAGGACACTAAAGGCCCAGCTTCCATTCAGTCCAGGACTATTTCTGGAAGAGGCGCCAGGGGTACTGCATCTACTGGGACACCTGCTCTCGCTGTTCTGGTCACCTCTGGTACATTCAATAACTTTGTGTAATTAGAAAAAAATAGTATTTCACACTTTTGAAATCCAAACCATCACACAAATAGAACTAGAGTTTGCATGCGGAATGAATAGTTTATTACTAGATTATAAAAATAAAATACAAAATAATTTTAAAACAGAACTTAAAACACTGTACAAAGCTTTAATATGATACAAATGAGAAAATTAAATAAATAATTACACTTTTATGTACAGATGTGGCCTATACAAAAGCACTCCATGTTTCTGCCATTATTCTATGTCCTTGGTTGCCTGAGCAAAAACACATAAAGGGAGCTGCTTGGAGGGGAAAGGGACATAATACAATAGCTGTGGAGGTATTTCAAAGACCAGCTTCTTATCTCTCTGATTTCGTGAGGAGGAGCAGAGAGGGAGAGAAAATTAGAATTATTCAAGTCATCTAACTCATTGGTCTGGTCCAACAAGACAATTCTGGTTTGTGGTTGAATCTGATTTAACAGCTGCCAGTAGCTCATAACTTTCAAGATTTATATTTAATCCAAAACCAGGTGTTCCCCTCCCTCCTTATTCCTGAGAGCTAGGAAATTGTAAGTCAACAGCCCAATGAAACAGTCACTGGCTATTTTAGGAAAAGAGTCAGGAGGACCAAGAACATTTCATCAAGGGACTCAGTGCTGGTTCATCGGATTTCCTCTTTACTCAATCCATCCAATCCAATTTCAAAGCCCCAAGTGGCCAGTGTTATATTTCCTTTGTCTCCTCATCTGTATTTCTGAAAGTTTGTTGTTTTTTTAACCTTAGTGGAACTACTTTACCTATTTTTTTTTTTTTTTGGAGAGGTTTTTGCTATAGGGCGCGTGCGCTTGCCAGACAGACAGAGACAGACAGAGAGACAGAAAGCGAGAAATCACCCCCCAGGGGGGATGGTCACGCCGCAATCCCTTCTCCTCCATTCTCCTCTCGGGATCTTGGGCACGCCACGCGCCTGGTGTGAGTTTTAAGCCACCGGGTCTGGGACGCGAACCACAGTCGACTACGTGGGAGTCCAGCGACATAGCCATTACGCTAACTGCTGGTTCCCTACTTTACCTATTTTTGAATAGTTTAAAAAGAAAATTGTTTTGGAAAAAGTCTCAAGACTTTCCCCTCCCTGGGTAGTTTTATCAACTAAAAGCTCTGGTAGTCTGCTTACCCCTTGTAAGTGAGTGAAGAACATCTAGATAGAATCCAGGGATGGTGAAGTGCTGTGCATGAACTTTTAAAGATTTAAACTGTAGAAGAGGTAAAAAGCATCATATGGCAAGGATCGTCCATATAAAAACCTGGTTTACTCAATGTTTTAAATTAGACAAGTGAACACTTATGTATATAATACAAAACAATATTTAAAAGTTCCTCTCCATCATTAGTGTAAAATTATGTCACCAATAAATTTTATAGACACATGGGCTTAAAAATATGCCTCATCCAATCTGTTCTCTAAGTCAAGGGGCCCAGAACCCTTGACCCAGGGTATCTGGGAGACATGGTCAGCACCACCAGTGTACATACTATGCTCATACCGATTCTAATTAAAGAGGAGGCAGAAACTTGTGAAGCTGCATAGGGCAAGGAAAGGAAAGGCTTCACTTCTTATATACATCTTGAACATTGAGCAAAGATCTAGCAAAACACTAAGGAAATACTCAAATCATTACTAATTAAATAGTACTTCTTTGCTGTTCAGTATCCTGAGATTGTGTACAACCTCATGGTGATCCTGAACTTGTTATATACTTTACTTTTCTGATCTGAATTGGCTGAAAGTAATAAACAGCAAGCAAGCTTACTTTTTTTTTTTTTTTTTTAAAAGCAGGAGCTAAGAATCACAACTGAATTAGAAAAATGTTTTGAATGGCCAAGAATTAAATGCCATCATTCTGTGTCCAGCCAGGAATTTCTCAGGGATTGAGGTGAGCTGTAGCTACATTCCCCTTTAAGCAGATAGGATCCTGTCCTGGAGTCACTTAAGAGCTACAGGAATACTCCATATACCTCCTGTAGTTCTTAGCAATTTCCCAGCAATGTTGGGCAACAGATTCTGAAGGCTCCTGAGAATATTTGGGTTAAATTTCTCATAATTCTAGAGGAATGGCCAAAACATTGAGAAAACCCAATGACTTCCACATCCTGAAGGTACACATCAGAATTTATTGGTTAAGTACAGGGAAGTGAGGATGTATCAACAACCACTTGGGGTTTTCCACACGCTGTATCCTCCCTCCTCTATGGTCTGAGCACTGAAACTTCCTCTTACTCCTTTCTCAAGTTAAGATCTAAACATGTACCTGTGGTTTCTGAACTTGGATATAGTGATACACAGGGACTACCATAGCAGTTACATGCCTTAATCCTGTAATACTTTTTATACTGAGCCATAGATAAATAGCTTTTTTGATAATATACCATCCACAGACCAACTTTAAGAAAGTTAAACAGTGTAGTCAACCTTTCATTCTATGGCTTCAGTGATAGAGATGCTAAAGCCATCTGTCCCAACACATCTGAGGTAAATACACAGAAACAGAAACGGGCAGATCTTGAGTGAATATAACCAACCTAATTCCAAAATGATGAACACAGTAGAAGAAATGGTTATTTAACATATGCCATGTTTTGAATAATAGCAAGGAAATAAGCTTTTAAAATATTAACTTTTAGTCTTGATCTGCAAGACTAAATATACAGGTATCTACAAATATATTTTCAAATAGCCACAGTAAGATGCATTTTTTTTTTCCCTCAGCCACTAAATCTGAATTTTGGATCCTGTTTTGCCTGTCACCAATTCCTAATGTTAAATTAGGTATGTAGAATCATCTGCCCTTGAGTAAAAAAGCATCTGGTTTTATTTCAAAGCTACTGGGTATAGAAAAAACTAAATATGATTTTAACTATTTGTGTTCTTGGTTTATAAAACATGCACCAATGTACACTTTTTCCTTATAAATGAAATGCAGCCCTAGAAATATTAGCATAAAAATTTGTGGCCTGGAAAGAATCTCTGATGACTACTGAAGAATCTCGAATTCCCATAGTATTAATAGCTAGGAGCTGACCAGAAAGAGATTGCACATCTAGAACACTGATTTAGTAAACAGCTGAGATTTGTTTAGTATTTTAAAGCAAAAAAATATAAAGTGGACAATGACTACAGTGGGTCTCAATTACCATTTTGCTACTTATTTAAGACTTAACTTGGCAACTTTTACGTAAAACATTCACTTCACAACATGCAACTTAAAAAATGTACCTATGCCACTGTCAGCAAGGCCAGCTTGCATACCAGAGCTGAGGATGAGTGCCTGTCTAAGGGCTTAATATTCAAAGGTATTTATAATCTATGTTTTAAGGTTAAATTTGATATGACCCAATTATCCTTCATTGTTCACTCTACATTATAAAGTTAAATGCCTTTAAACTGCACAAGAGATTACTATGTGGATTTTTAATGTTTCAGCCAGTCCACAGACCCTGGAGATTTGGCAGCATAATTCAGGAGGAATGCTACCTAAAGGGATTGAGCTGTTAATCCTATCTTCTGTTCTACTCAAATAATTCCCTGGCAAGGGCAAGTGTGACTAGTTAACCAGCCATTTTGTTGTGATGGGAGAAACCAGGAGGTCCTTGATTTTCAAAAGATAGTTTTAACTTCTGCCCCATATTACTTTTAGTATATCTTGGCTTGATTTTAACTAATGGCCATGTCCTGCACATTTTATGTAGAATAACCAAACTGGTTTAAAATTACTTGGATGATTTGTCTGAAATCGGTAACATGCCATCATGAAAAAAATAAACAAAAATAAATAAAAAATAAAGACCTAAACAAAGTAAAACAAAAACCTCATTCTCAGGCCAGCTCTGTGGCCTAGTGGTTAAGGCAGCTGGATCCCACATGGCCAATTGAGTCCTGGAGCTGGCAGCTTGAAAAACACGCTGAATGATTTTGTGCATGCACCCAAAATTCTGGGGAAAAGGTGAGATGGAAGAAAAGGGATTTTATAGTATGATCATTCCCCAAGGGAGGTGCTCCACCCTCCAACTTTCCCATCCTCCCCCCAGGTGAGTGTATACACTCTCTAGCAAAACAAAATAAAACACCTCATTCTCTGTATCATACTTTAAAATAAAAAAAAAAAATCCATGTGCCAAAAGTGCTTCTTCAGGACTACCAACTTCCGTTTTTAGCTGGAAAGACAGCTAACATCCAAAAGTACAAACTATGCATTTAAAAACAGTAAGTCCTTATGTAGGAGAGTACTTAAAAACAGACCTATTGATACATAAGATATAGTCTGTTTCTTTTTTAAGTACCAGAGCAGAAACAACTTGGGTTAATTCTTTCTTCTACATGCAACATAAAATATTCTTAAACAATTAGGCTATTTATCTATGGATCTTTATGAGTTTGTCATTGCCACTTAGGAAAGGCACGACACAGTGGACAGGTTGGGAGGAAACAGAAAGAAGCAAGAAAGAAAACGTTAAGTTGCCATGTTGTCGACACTGTCAGTTTTGACTGCCAGCAGAGAAATGCCAATAAGACATAAAACATCACATATATACCACAGGTGTAGCCAAATGAGCTTTTCCAGTGGTTACTGGCAGCACATTTCTCACTAGAGGGACCCAGATTTAAAGCTCGCTACTTTTAGCACATTAGCTAATAAAACAAAAACAGAATTGCTTATCTCTCACCTCCCATCCCCCAGAAAAGTGAGGTGAAAAGAAGAAAGTAGAATGGCAATTTTAAAGAAGTATTTTAAAAGTCAGTTTATGTCAGAACCCATGATTATCATCCCAGTTTACCCAATCTAAGACCAGAACTATGTGGTTAACATGACAAACCATGGAACTAATATGACAAGCATGTCCCAGTATTTCCCCCATTAGTATATTTTAAAAATTAAAATTTAAATAACCTATCTTAGCTTGTTAAAGACTGTCAACCCTTGTATTATACACAGGGGAAGCAAGAAGAATCTGAGGTGTCTCATGCCAAGAACATATTTCCAGAAAATGAAGGTAGACAAGGCCCAAGTGTACACGAGGCACACAAAAGGAAAAGGAATGTGGCCATCTGTGATCTTGAAATTACAAATGGAGAGTGAGAAAGAATGAGCTTATGTAAGCATATGTCTCTCTATATATTTATAAATATTTATATAATTTACCATGAAGACATGCAGATAGTGTTAAAGCAACTATTATACAATATAATACAGAAGAATTGGTCTTCCAATATTACAGTTGCTTTAGATAAACAGCAAATAGGTCTTATCTATTGCATTCCTCTGTAGTGCTTGAAACTGGAGAGAAATGAAGATTCCACATTATGCTACATTTCTTATAGGAGACCTTATATGCCTCAAGAATGTCTTGAGTTTTTTAAAAAGCTCAACACAAAGAGAACAAGGTAAGTTCAGTGCAGCTTGAGGGCAGCTTTGATGCAGCATTAGAATATGTTCACTTGGTGAGGAAATAGATTTCTCTTTCTTTGTTTTCCAATTCAACCACATTAGGTTTGGCAGCAAACACAAGGTCAAAGAGAAAGCACAGATGTTTGCTAGAAGGCAAATTTCAACAGCAAGCAGACCAGTTTACCTGACCTTAATAAGGTCTTTACAACACAAAAACACCTAGAAAATATAAAAGAGCCCATTAAAAAAATCTGGCATACTTTAATTTTGCCTGATTCCTGTTAGCAGAAGAGTGAGATCAGAATAAGTACGATCCTCCATACAGCTTCATAAATTGAGATTACACAGAAATCAGGCTTTGAAGCCCATATATTGAACTAAAGCACAGGAGAAACAGGTAATAAAACATTGAAGGAAAAGATATTTAGCCTAAGTTTATTTCCCCAGATACAAAGTTTGAGGATTATAAGACTCAATAACATACCAAATTACTGTCTAATTTTCTAAAAGCATAAAGTCACATCCCAAAGTGTTGTGCTTCCCTGGTATCACCTTGGAGACTGATATGAGAAACAGTTGATACCTAGAATACTTAACGGAAGCAGACTACTCTGGTCAGTTTTCCTTCCACAAGGAGGAAACTTAACAGGGAGAAGGAAGGTTCTTCTATCTTGAAGGATATTATCCCACACTATCGCTTTCTCCCTGAACACTAAAGCCTGAGTAGTTCTAGTTAGACTTTTCTTTCCTTTACCTAAGTTTTTAAGTTATTTTTTTATAGTAAAAAAGTACGGGGTTAAGAATTGTTGCTCCAAAGAAAAATACTAGGGGACTGAAAAAAGGTACTTTGATTTGAAATTCTCAGCATGTGCTGCTAAAAGCCTATTCAGATATATTGTTAAATAAAAGAGAGATTGGATCACGTAAGAAACACTGACTTGAAAAAATGTGAAATCCAGGGAGAAAACAAGGAAGGAGGCCCGCAAAGTAAAGATGTCAACTCTCAATACAATAAACAAACATACAGCCAAACATACATGAGTTCTGGCTCTCTGGCAATAGACTTCTTAGACACTCTAATGTCTGACCAATGACTCTGTTAGGCTGGGAACTTTTGAATGAAAATACCAAACAAGTTTCATTTTTACTTATATAATCTTTGAGGCTTAAAAAATTAGGCAAAAATCCTTTAAAATTTTACTCTATTTCTTCCCTTTAACTCTTCTGTTTCATCGTAGCTAAAAAAAATTAAAGCTCACTTAATGAGTTTCTCCTCCCTGGATTTTACTGGATTGCTGTCTCCTATACAAAGGCATTGATTCCTGATCGGCTTGCTGCCTCCTTAGGTAATTCCATAAACATACATTTATGTCTTTGTATAAATAACTGATCGTGTTACTTTCTTTCAAGGGACGATCAACACTGATTTTTTGATTAGACAGTACAGGGACACACATGCATCAGATTTAGGAGGAAGATCTCACACCTTTCATAGAGATGCAGCCTGGCTCCTATCTGCTGAGTTTACTGGCTGGCTTACTCTTCCCTGGGGGGGTTTTAGTGCTGGCCGAGTGGTGGTGGAGGTTGCTGGATCCTTTCAGGCCATTCTTGCTGGGTTTGCAATGCTCCTGTTGGCAGGACCTCCTGGAGGAGGATGATCCTGAGTGGCTGGGAGGTGACTTGCTTCTCCCTAGATGTGGGGATGAACTCCTCTGGTCATGGTGAGGCCGTCCAGTCCTAGATGGTGAAGAACTAGACGTGCGAGGCAAGGATGAGCTTCGAGGAGAGGCACTGGGACTCCTGCGAGGAACAACTGGACTTTTGGGTGGTGTTTTGGGGTTGTGAGGAGATCCTGGACTCTTGCACTGAGTAGTGCTCCGGGGTTTCTGAGATCCATTTTGAAGAATTTGGGCCAGGCGGGAGAAAAGGTCTGAGTCGGAGTTACTACTCCCTAGAACTTTATATCTGCGTAGCCTTAAAAGAACAGAGAAGAATTATTTTCATTTTAATTCATTTCAAATGTCTCTGAAGTCATTATGTCCCAAATCATAATGATGTGAGTCACAATCAGAAAATGCACTAGCAGGATACAGAGGTAATCTTTCATTAGTTATATGACCCTGGGCAAACTACAAAACCTCACCTAGCTTCCAATGAGAATTGTACCTGGGCTCACAGGGTCACTAAGCAGACCAAGAATAGTAACCCAGGTAACTGGATGACTGCAGAAACACTTGAATGTTACTAGTTCCCTTTTTTCTATGATATGCTTTTCTAATTTTAGGACTGACTTAAAGAATTGCCTCTAGCATATTAGGACATGGGAGAGAGCAAACCATTTTGTGTAGGGCTGCTAGGATAGTAATCCTGCGAACACTAAACTTCACTAACCACCCTTCTTACTGGCAGCTGAGCCTGGACTCCAAATTCTAAATCTATAGAGTATTCAAATAAATATCAATGTCCTCTCTGCCCTAAATATTTTTCTGGTTTGTTCTAATAAGCAAATAAAACAGTGTGTTCTATAAACTATAAAGCACTCTACAAGAATATTTTAGTGGCGTTACTAGAAGATGTGGTAATAAGGGCCTTTGGGCTCCTGCAATAAAACAAAAACAAAAACAAAAACACTATGGTAATTAAAAATATATAGCAAAGGGGACCAGCAAGTGGCATAGTGGTTAAGGTGCTGGATTCCCACACGGCCAACCGCAGTTCAAGTCCCAAACCCGGTGGCTTGAAACTCATGCCAGGCTCATGTGCATGAGTGCCCCAAATCCTAAAAGGAGAATGGAGGAGAAGGGACTGACCCATGGCCATCTCCCCTGGAGAGTGATTCCTCGCTTTCTGTCTTCCTCTTTCTTTCCAGCAAGTGCACACACCCAATAGCAAAAATCTCTTCTCTCAAAAAAATAAATAAATAAATAAATAAATAAATAATAAAAAAGTACATAGGCCAGCAGGTGGCATGGTGGTTAAGGGCGCTGGACCTCCCACATGGACAACTATGGTTTGAGTCCTGAACCTGGTTGCTGGCTTTCTCACTCTCTCTCTCTTTCTCTCTCCCTCTCTCATCAAATCAAAACAACTAACTAAAGTTAAATAAAATAATTTAAAAAATTAAACTATATCACAAAGGGATAGATGAATGGAACTGAGCAATGAGACATGGGAAAGCCCAGAATAACCAAGATCAGAGAGGATTCTGGGAAGATGGCAGAGTAGGAAGCACCAAGATCTGTTTTCCCCATCCAGACAACAATTACATTGGCCAAAACTATCTCATGTCTAACTATTTTAGAAATCTGGAGTCTATTAAAGGTTTGAGACTTGACAGGGGATGGCTTGGACTAAACTGCAGTCAATTTTGATAAATTTCTGATAGTAGCACAAGAGCGGCTACCCATCCCACCCCCCAGTCCCGTGGCAGAAGCTGTACTTGTTTCTGTGCACTTGTTTCTGGAAAAGTTTGCACACAGTTGACAGGAGCCAGAGTGAAAAAAATTACTCCAATTCTGAGGGGTCTGTGCCCTGTTTGCTCATTGTGGCTTCTTGACTGCAGAGGGGCATAAAAAGGGGCAGGCAGCCATTCTCACATCCCCCCTCATTGTTATAAGCCCCTTCTCCTCTGGCTAAGTAATTTCTAAGGTATACCCTCTTATTCTCTCTGCATTTTTTTTCTTTTCCATTTTTATAAACTAGACACTAAAGACTAAGACATTCAAAAGTAACCTCATATGAGGGCACTTCAAAAAAGTTCATGGAGGGACCAGCAGTTGGCGTAATGGCTATGTTGCTGGACTCCCACGTAGTCGACCGCGGTTCACGTCCCGGACCCGGTGGCTTAAACTCACACCGGGTGTGTGTGCGTGTGTGCCCAAGATCCCGAGAGGAGAATGGAGGAGAAGGGATTGCAGTGTGGCCATCCCCCTGGGAGGTGATTTCTCGCTTTCTATCTCTCTGTCTCTTTCTGTCTTTCTGGTGAGTGCACGCACCCTATAGCGAAAAAACCTCTCCAAAAAAAGAAAAAAAAAGTTCATGGAAAATGGAAAGAAAGTATGAGTTTATTTTGGAACAAAACTCTTTTGAAATCCATGCATAGTTTATTCGAAATACACATTATCAAAGAGCTTTTTGAAGACCACTCATATAGGGGAAATTATAATGTCACTACACATACCCAGGGAAAGGTTCAGAAAAGATCTGACGAGACATTAAGTTTACATATCAGGCTGGCCCTCAGCAGACACAGTAATCATCAACAAACCAACAAATCCTAAGGAAGAGGAGTAAACTTGATTTTTAGAGTTACCACATTATTAAATTCAAATATTGAATTTCAATAAAAAAGCTAAGGCATGTAACAGGAAAGCATGTTCTATTTAAAGGGAAAAAACAGATCCAATAGGGGGCAGGCTCTGTGACACAACAGTAATGTGCTAGAGAAGCTGGATCTCACATGGTGTCTGCAGTTTGCATCTCTGGCCCAATCCACCTGAAATATGCCAGGTACATACATGAGCGTCCAACTTCCCATAGACTGGAATACTGGAGAAAGGGGACTTCAGCATGACCAGACCATTAGAGAATGCTCACTTCTTTTTCTCTCTCTTTCTCTCTCTTTCTCTCTCTCTCATATGCAGGTGTATACACTTTATCATGAATTAAAAAAAAAATAGATCAATAGAAACTGTTCCTAAAAAAGACAGATGGCAGATCTACTAGGCAAATGCTTTCAAATATCTATATTAAAGATGCTTGGAGAGGTCACTGAACTCTGACGTAGTCAGCCGCGGTTCTAGTCTCGGGCCTGGTGGCTTAAATTCATGCCGGGCGCGTGTGCGTGCATGCCCCAGAGAGGAGACTGGAGGAGAAGGGATTGTGGCATGGCCATCCCCCCTAGGGGGTGATTTCTTGCTTTCTGTCTCTCTGTCTTTCTCTGTCTTTCTGGTGAGCGCATGCGCCCTATAGCAAAAACCTCTCCAAAAAAAAAAATATATATATATGCTTGGAGAGGGTTGACCCCATAGTGCAGCAATTAAACACTATGCATACAGAGCCAGATCCCACATGGTTGACTACAGTTTGAATCCTGGCCCCAGTGGTTTGAAAAACACACCAGGAACATGTGCATCCATGTCCCAAATCCTGATGGGATGGAGAAATGGAGGACAAAAGACTGTGGGCATGACCATATTTCACTGGGGAGTACCTCTCAAAATATTGGTGAGTACACACGCCCTCTGGCAATAACAAAGAAAAAATAATGAAAAAAACACTCAAAGACCTAAATAAAGATATAATAGTTAAGGCAACTTGATTCCATATGGCCAACTGTGGTTTGAGTCCCAGATACTGCTGCTTGAGAAACATTACAGACATGGGTCTGTGTATGCTCAAAATCCCAAAAGAAGGGAGAAATGGAGGAAGAAGGATTGTAGTGTGAGTGTCCCCATCAGTGCTTCCTCACTTTCTGTCTGTCTGAACAATGCATATGGCCTCTAGCAGCAATTTGGGGGGGAAAAAAAAAGATGTGGAGAAAGTCAAGGAGAGAATATATGAACAAAATGAAAATATCAATAAATAAAAAGCCTAAAAAGAAACCAAAAATAAATTTTGGAACTAAAAAGTATAACCATTGAAATAGAAAATTCACTGGAGGGATTCAAAGGCAAATTTGAGCAGGGAGAAGAAAGAATCAGCAAACTCAATGATAGGATAATGGAAATGTTTAAGTCTGAGAAACAAAGAAAAAACATTAAGGAAAAGTAAACAGAGAATAAGGAACCTGTAGGGCATCATCAACAGACTAATATATGCATTATAGGAATTCCAATAAGAAAAGAGGAAGGGACAGAGAATAGTTGAATAATGGCTGAAAACATCTCAGATTTAATGAAAGGCAGGTATATACAACATCCAAGAAGCTTAACAAACTCTAAGTAGGACAAACTCAAAGAAACCTACACTGAGGCCCAGCTGCTATAGTGCAGTGGGAACACAGTGCCCTGCAAGGCTGAAAGCCACATGGCTGACTGTGGATTTGGATCCCTGGAGCAGCCTGAAATCATGCTGGGGTACCCCAGATCCTGAGGAACTGCAGAGCTTGGGAAAAGGAATCATGGAATAATGAAACTAGGTTGAAGGTGCTTCTCTCTCTCTCTCCTCTCTCATTCTCTTATGTGTTTGCACATGCACCCTTTATCATTAAAAAAAAGGAAAGAAACCCACACCAAGATACATTACTATCAAAATGCCAAAAGTTGGGACCAGCAGATGAGATGGAATAATGGTTACGTCACTGGACTCCCATGTAATCAACTGCGGTTCGAGTCCTGGACCTGGC